TCTTACTAGAACAAGATATATATTTGTTTTTGTCTAAGTCACACAACAAAATAAATCAACTCTAATATCATTGTTCAAAAATTTTAATTGGAATAAATTAAGAAAATTTCTAACAATAATATTTTAGATAGACTTGTTCATGAATCTACTCTCAAAAACTTGTACGTCTTTCTATTTGACAGCTAAATTTATGAATGGTTGAAGAAAATAAAAGAGTTTAACCACACAAATCTTACACTAAATGAAAAGGTAAAAGTTTAAATAAATAAAGAAAAGACATAAATTCAATAAACACAAACTAATAAATAAGAAAACTCATATTAATATTAATTTGAGAAGTTGATTTTGTGAAATTTCATTAAATTTAAAAATCTTCTTTTATAAAATCGTATGAGTGTTAAGTATAATTTAGTCTAGAAAATCTTGATAAGTACATGGTGTTATTCTTTCATGATCTAAGAATTAACATGATATGATAGTTCAAGTTTATATTGTTCCAAAGGAGAAGGGTCAAAATCCATAAACAACTAATTTGGCTGGTAATTGAAATTAAGAGGCCTAAATGAAAAGCATTTTTTTTCTTCTTTTCTTCTTCTTCCGTATGTTCAGGCATCGATTTTTGGAACATCGATTCAGTGTTTATAATTTACATATGTCTTTTCTTTTATGTCGGGCTAATCTTTTATCAAAAAAGAAAGAAGATATTATACATGTCTGTATGTCATTCTGATATTTTGTATATGCTGAAATCAATTACTTTGTTTATTTCAACCATGTAAGTTGGCAAGTTGAAAATTGTCGAGTTCATACAAGCCAGATTTTGGTAAGTTAATTATAATAGAGCGTTAATTAAGGATGTTGGATAAGCAACAAACCTCTGTAAACATTTGTTAAACACAATATGTTATATACGCGGTTCCATGTTTTTGCAATCAATTTTTATTTCGTTGTTCATCTTCGACAATTATTTTAGGAGATTCAAAATTTCTATATAAAATATATAATTTTTTGAAGCTATAAATATGTAAAATATATTAAAATTAAAATTAATTTAAAGTACAATTAAGTTATATAAATATATATAAAAAATGGCGGTCAAGGTCCATTAAAGTTCCCCTGCATTCAACCTGTTATAATTACTTACAATGTGGTTTATGATGTTAATTAAATAGTATTAAATAAATATATTATTATTTTATAATATAAAAATTTAATTGGCTTCTTTATCATTTAAGCATATAAATTTGTATAAAATATTAGATTCGTAACTGAAGTTTCTTTATCTTATTCATAAATGACAAAATTATATTAGAAAAATGAAAAAAATTAGATAGATATATTAATATATATATATAATATATATATATATATATATATATTATATAATTCAATTTAAAAGTTAATTGCCCTTAAATTTTTTAAAGTGTAAGTTATGAAAAAATGACGACCAAAATAAATAAAAATAAATAAATAAATAGCACGTGATTTTAGAGTGAATGAAATTAGTGACTGTATTGGAAAGTATAATAAAATTATAGATTAAATATGTTTTTAGTATCTGAATTTTTTTTATTTAAAATTTTAATATATTTTAGTTTTTAAATTTAAAATTAAATTAATATAATTTATTTAATTTAATTATATTAAATTTTACATATTAAATGTGTTTTTTAATTAATATTGAAATAGATGTGTGAAACAATATAAACAAAACTTAATATATAAAATATATTTTGGTAAGTTAAAAAAATAATATAATTAAATTAAAAGGATTATACCAATTTCTTTATAAAATGTGAAAGATTATAATGTATTAAAGTTTCGAAAATAATCAAAATTTTGTGTCAAATAATTAAAAATATATTTAACTCATAAAACTATAAAACTAGAATGTTTAATTTATGAAAAAAAAAGAAATAAAAAAAGATAAATAGATTAATTAAAACAGGCAAAAAAAAATTGACTATCTTTTTGTTTATTTTTCTTTTCTGTTTTGGAACGTTTCTTTTGAAATAATTTTCAAAACAAAACAAATTTTGAATAAGAAAATGATTAATGGATAATACGAAAATATTTCTGAAAAAAAAAATAAAGAAAAGTGCGAAGCGAAGCACACACTACACCTTCTCCTTTTGTTTTAGTTAGGCCATATCCAACGTAGATTTCTCACCAAATTCTTTAAATTGCAAAATTTCTCAAACCACATTTTTTAGTGTTCTTCCTGTCAAATCATTTTTAAGAAACTTGTGCCTAACTTTGCACCAAGTGGTAGAATTCTTTTAAGAATCTTGAAAATTTCATATTTTTACATTTTTTACTTTCACTTAATTTCGTTTCAAATAAATTTTATGTAGAAAATTCTTTAAGAGAATTCATTTTCTTGCTAAGAAGGAATAATTTCTTATACAATTTATTTTTCTTAAAGTTGAAAAAATTGAATGTGTGGCGGAAAAAATTTCCAATGATAAAATCTTTAAGAATTATTTTTTCAAGTTAAGGAATCCATTAAAAGATTGCCATTGGAGATGCTCTTGATTTCAACACACCCAAAATGCTGGACCAAACATCCATTAAATTCAATATGCTCCATTAATGAATTGTCTTAGCCCATTATAGATTTAAATAAATGGATTAAATTAAATCTAAATCCAAAGAATTGGTTTGGAATCCAAATTTGTGTGTGCGTGTGTGTGATATTAATATATATATGATGTTCACAAAGTATGATATTATTTTAAAATTAATATTTTAAAAAGTTAACAAATAAACACACAACTTCTTTTTTTTTTTATATAAAAATTGAATTTAAATTTAAAATTCAATTATTTAAAAGTATAAGTTTAGCTAAATGTAAATATAACTATTTCAACTTAAATTAAATTAAATTCAGTCTAATTATCTAAATTTACATTGAACTTCAATTGGATCTTTCCATATCTATCCTACATCAAAACGACGAAAAAGGTCACCCACATCTAATTTTCATACTTAATTCTCATCCACAAATTAAGAAATTCATCCACAATTATAGGTTCCATTTAATACATATTCACAATGTATAGAAACATATCTACACTTTAATTCCCATATTTCTGTCTATAGAAGTATATTTAAGCTGTCCTTTCTTATTCTAGTTTAAAAACAAATGTTGACTTTTTTATTATCAGCATAAAACTAAAAATACATCAGCTTTTATATTTTTAAAAATAAGTTTTTGATATAGAAATAGGCACATTATCTAATAAAAAACGTAACTTTATGATTCACTTAACGGGTAATAAATTATGAATGTGCTTATTCAATCTAAACCTTATATATTATATGTTATTTTCTCATTCTTTTAAATATTTCTTTTGAATTAAAAACAATATTAATAAACTTTAACTTTCATAAATAATGTTTGGATGACGATTCACCTCTTACCTAATGGACCAAAATCTATTTCAATTGATCCATAAAATGATTCTACGAAAATAATGTTTTACCTTCCATGTCACATCTTTCCTTATAAGACAACTCTTCATTTTCGAACCTTATTCTCGCTTTCCAAGCTATTGCTTCGATTTTTGCACCATATTTACTCTCTTTACTCACACCTTGTTAGATCTCACACTGCATCATTCCAATTTCTTCATCGCTACACTTCTCGAGGTTGAGGGCTACTACATCTATAAGGTTATGACAAAAGATAACAAATTTTCTTTGCAAAACCACGCACACCGACTACTAAGTATTGACATCGTAATTTTACAATTCAACTAAAGACCAACTACTGAAACTCTTCGCATGCCTTTGAGACATGAAAAAGACTGGTGACAATTGTAGTGTATGTGGCCCTTTGACCATGTCAACTATGATCTCTAAAGACAATTGTTTGCTCAACATATACTAGATATCGTATACCTTGTATCCAATAAAGGTTGCATGTTGATTATCAGATACCTCATGAAGGTTAAGCTGCCTACCAAAAACTGATGATTGCTTGCCAAAAGGTTAACACATGTCTGTCAAAATAGTAAGCACAATATGCTACATGATAAGTGTCTAGTACTTGATGCCAAGTGTTGGGTGTCGAGTATTGTATACCTCCAACCAAAAACCAATCATTGTTTGTTGATAAATGTGTTCTTCCAACCGTGTGTTAAATATTTTCCACCAGAACTTGGTGCCTATCGACATTTATCCATGTCAATCGAAACGAACCGTTTAACTTTAAATGAGTTTTGACTATTTTTCACTTTAATCACATTTTAACCAAATCTTTGACTATAAGCACTGACTTGAGTGTCAAAGAATCTTTTTCATATACAACACCTATTCCTTCTATAAAAGACAAGTACCAATAAGACAAAGAAAAGTTAGAAAACAACACCAACTACAAATTTGTAAAGTGGAAGACTTTTTACAAAATACCTATGGCTTTGTAAGGAATGTTTAAGTTGTCATTTCCCTTCTTATTCTAGTAAAAAAATAATAGACATTTTTATTTTTAGTTTTTATCAGCAATTAAAAGGAAAAACTACATCAGCTTTTATATTTTTGAAAATAAGTTTTCGATGTAGAAATAGACACATTATCCAATAAAAAATGTAACCTTTTCCAAAATGAACCCTATGATTAACTGTGGGTCATAAATTATGACTGTGCTAATTTAATCTGAACCATATATATTATATATCATTTTCTCACTCTCTTTACTCTTTCCCTTGAATTAAAAACAATATTAATGACAGATAAAATTAGTAAAAGTAGGCATCAATTGCTACCTATGTGCATCACATGTATGGTTCACGAACTTCTTATCACAGTTCAAATATATGACTCTGCTAACGTCATGGAACATGATTATTGTCCTTCTATACCACTGTCCATTTCTCTTCACTTTTCCAAAACAACGCACGCACACACAATATATATATGAACCTAGAATTACCATACCAAGCGTGCATTCTTTTGTTATTTCCAATCTCATTACGTAGCTCATTGGAAGAACAGCAAAAATGGAGAACCCAGGTTGCACTTGTACATGGCGAACCTTGTACGAGAAACCACAAACCATGTTAGTTAACTTCAAAAACATGGTTGTAAAACTTGGAAAAGATGACCCCAGAAGGATTACTCACTCCCTTAAGTTCGGATTCGCACTGGTATTAATCACTATTTTTCAATATTTTCGTCCCTCCTTCTATGTTCTTGGTGACAACATAATGTGGGCCGTTATCACTGTCGTTTTTGTCCTGGAATTTTCTGTGGGTGAGTAATTAACCAAGTTTTTAACTATTTTTCTATCATCAATGTAAACGTTTTGTTAACAAATGTGATATGTAATGTAACATTTTTCAGGTGCAACACTCGGAAAAGGTTTAAACCGGGTGTTGGCGACGGCGTTTGCTGGTGGTCTTGCTGTTGCACTCCGCGAAATAGCGAGTTTTTTTGGAGATAAGGGAAAGGTCGTAATGATTACGGTCTCTGTATTTTTCGTAGGTAATTACAGTGCTAATTAATTAGTTTAACAATAGTTAGAATGAGACGAAGTTAATTAATTTACAAAGGCGTTTGATTTCACAGCTGGAACGGTGACGTTTCTGAGATTTTCCCCGCGACTGAAGGCGAAGTATGATTACGGGATGATTATTTTTAATTTGACCTTTTGTATAGTAGCTCTTTCGGAGACTACTGAGAATGAACTGTTGGAAGTTGCACAAGAGAGGTTATTAACGATCATAATTGGGACTTGCATAGCTATTACGGTATGTATATGTATATGCCCCGTTTGGATTGGACAGGATCTTCACAATCAAATTGCTTCCAATATTGTAAAGATCGCCGACTTTTTGGAAGGTAATTTATCTGCTTTAATTTTCCCTTCAATCAAACCTAATAATTACCGGTATTCATTTTCATGCCTAAATCTTGACTCGATATTTTCCCAACTCTTGAGTAATTAATACCTAGGTTTGGTCTTTGTGAATGATGCGTAATAGAATTATGAGTTTTTGACTAATATGTGGACACTCATCATACTTCATTTAATAATTTTTCACTAATTATGAATGTTCTTGCTGATGAAATTTAAAAACTAACGAAAAAGTGGCAATCCGCAGGATTTAGAGATGAATACTTCAACAATTTAGGGAAGACAGCAGAAGCTGAGGATGATAAGTCATTTCTCCACAGATATGAAAGTATCCTCTCTTCAAAAACTAATGAAGAAACAATGGTGAACACCAATAACTATACTAATCATGTTTTCTCACATAATGTTTTTTGTCCAGAAAATTAAGATTGTCACGTTAACTATCTGCTATGTTTGACTTGATTTGGAATGCATAGGCTGTTTTGGCAAGATGGGAACCTCGTCATGGCAGGTTCAGATTTCGCCATCCATGGAAGCAATACTTGAAGCTCGGAAACCAAATTCGGTTGTGTGCTTACAAAATTAAAGCTCTCAGTGTCTTCCTCTTACGTTCTGATCAAGTACGTACAACATTTCACATTTCTTCTTCAAATCCTCTGGATTTTTCAAGTAAAGATCAGTTGGGACTATAATAGTTTAAGATCATTGAAGAACACTGTTTTTTGTGTTTTTCCTTCAGACCCCATATGAAATTCGAAGCAGGATTGAAGAGCCATGCGCAAACATCATAATGGAATCTGGGAAGGCTCTTAAGGAATCATCATTGATGCTTAAACAGTTTGCAAAGTCAGGAATGGCAAATCCCCATGTGGCGAATGCTAAAAATGCTTCTGAATCTCTTAAATCTGTTCTGAGAACAAACCCGTGGGAAGGAGCTGATCATCTGCAGATAATACCAGCAGCTACAGTGGCATCACTTCTGATTGATATAGTTTTCTGTGTTGAGAAAATTTGTGAAGCTGTTGAGGAACTTGCAAACCTTGCAAATTTTGAGCCCTCTGAGATACTCCATCGAGGAACAGTTCAACCTATTCCCGATACTGATGGTGCGGTTCATGTCATCACCATTGCTGAATGACAGTCGTCACAATGATTAAGAAGAAAGACCTGCTAACTAAATTGGTCAAAGCTGTAGGCAGATAATCAACAGATAATGTTATTACTTTCACTTAGTAACACAGTTGCGTGGTGTATGAGATAATTTTGTTTTTATATTTTTTAAAATTATTTAAATATGTCTCAATCTTATATTTATATTGATTTTATTCAAGTGATTTAACTTTAAAATAATGATAAAATAATACATATTTATATTTATTTGACTTATATTATATATTATAAAAAATTATATTTTAAAAAACAATAATAATGTCAAATAAATATAAAAGATTAATATGTGTAATAGTATCATATTTCTTAATTTTATCACACTTGTTTTCAATTTTATTTAAAGATGTTTTACTATCATATATCTCAATGACTTCATAGCTGTGAAGGTGAAATTGAGATATTTTAATTTCTTGGAAATTTGTTAGTGGGATCTAAACGGATATAGAAAGAAAAAAAAGTTTGTCATTTGAATCCACATCTTCAATACTTTTGTCTGGATATTAAGAAAAGGTAACATATTATTAGTTATATTAATTGTTAAAAATACAAATGATGCATCAACTGAATATCTTAATAAATAAATACCCATTATTTTTCTTTAAACTAACTTGTTAGGAGAAGCTATAAATGCTTTCTTTCACTGTAGGTATTTAACGGAAAACAAGAGAAACTTAATATATACAAATTGATTAAAAAATGTAAATTAAGATTTAGGGTCTTGTTTAAACTTTGTTCAAAGTGTTGTTTCATCTTTATGTGGGCTCTTTAAATGAATTTGTAAATGATAGATTCGAAATAAAAAAAATATGTGCTATGAACTTCAGGTTAATTACTGTTTGATAAGAGACTTCCAAACATTAATTACACATAGATATCTAAAAATTTAAGCATGATAATATAAGTGGTTGAAGAGCTTGTAAATTCTGTGCAACCATTATAAGAATTTTCACAATAATTGATGGAAAAGAAACCAGTTGGAAAAAACGAATTTTACAGACAAAGTCAAAAGGAGGTCACATCACTGAATCACTGAATGAGATAGCATAGATTAGGGTAAGACCATGAAAAATATTCACCTTAAAAATAATAATAAATTTATTAGTTAATAGAAAATATAATTAATAAATTTATATAAATAAAACGTAATAAATTAAAAAAAATTTACAGTAGTTCAGATGATAAAGACTTTGTAATATTTAGGATATGGGTTCAAACTTAGTAAAATACATTTTTCTAAAAATATATTTTTATAAAATAAATAAATTAATAAAAAAAATAATAAATAAATGGAATTGAAAATAAGAAGTGGACAAGAGACTTTCGTGATTGAAGAAGAAGACAAAATAGCTTTAGGTGAATAAAATTCTTAAAAAAAAAATTCAACCTTTCTAAACTTTTATATTACGCTTGGTACTAAGTTGTCCATTGTGACACACCTCTCTTTCTTGGAAGTCTACTTGATAGGTTTTTAACTTAAATCCTATTGAACAGATTAAGTATTGTTAAACTATTATGCAATATACTCAATTGATATAAAATATGTGATAGATTCATCTTTCTGGAAGGATAAGAAGATGTCTAACCGGCTATGCCAAATTCAACTTTTTAGTTCCCCATAACGTTTATATTAAGGTTATATTTGTGATGGTAGGATAGAGGAATCTTAAAAACCGGAGTTGGTACATCCCTTATCATAGAGCAACCCTGGTCAAATCTAGTAAGTTGTGACTAGTCATATGTACTAGCGTTTATGGTGAGTTTGATTCGTCAAACATTTGATTCTTCTCCGGTGACCATTTATAGTGATATTTTATTATTGTTAATTTATTTTGTGATATATTCATTTTGTATGATTTCTGTGATGATTGTATTTTATTATATTGGATTTGAATTTATGTATCTGAACATGATATGAGTATTATGGGGAGATTTTGTAATGGTATAGTATGAGTTGAGGAATATGAGCATGATATGAGTCTCGTGGAGAGATTCTGTAATGACATGGTATTAGTGTATATGTTGATGTTGAGGGTCCTGTTGTTGGAGGTTATCCTGATACTCTAATAATCATCCGATCTCAAGTAAAGAAGGATGAGTTATGTGGTAAGAGGGGCAGGAGGTCCTGGTCTATGTGTCGGTTTTGGACATAGTGTTGAGGACTAACCTTGTGGATGGTATGGAGTATTTCGAAAGTGTATTTGTAAGGAGAAGTAGAGGTAATCACAAATGCATAACCTCCCGTGAGCGCTCATCAACGTATCATCTGGATGAGTGTCTATTGGGGATTGTGGTACGATGGGATGAGTGTCTGTGGTATGATAGGATGAGTGTCTATTGGGGATTGTGGTATGATGGGATGAATGTCTATGGTGCGATTGTTGTATGATGGTATGAGGGTGTCTGACATAATTATTATATGATGTTTGTTGAGTGTATCAAAGTAATTATGCATGTTTTATAAATGATTTGTTGGATGTTAGCTCACCCTACTTGTTTGTGTTTGTGTTTGTGTGATGATCGTATAATTCGTTATACGGGAGCAGATGAAAGAATGTCGTCCGATTCAGTGTCAATGAAAAAAGTGATAGAAGAATAAATTAGAAGAGTTCGAGTTATATTTATGAGTTTGTAGTTGAAATCTGAGTTTAAAACATATATATATATATATATATATATATATATATATATATATATATAT